ATTTCGAGTCAATTGTCTACCGATGAAGAGTCCTAAACATGTACGAAACAGCTGACCACTAATCAATGGTTTTAATTGTTTTGTGATGGAAACTATTATTTGTTATTCAAGCGAAACTCTCCTTCCATGCACACACACACAAAGTATTGATTAAATTTCAATTAGACATTATCACATTGTTGGGAATAACCTATAGAATTAGGACGATGCGTACAGTCATCACATGTGCTTTTGTATACTTGAAGTCAAGTAGATACTCATTCTTTGATTCAAGTATTTATCACAGCATGTGTCACTGCATAAATATTTAGAAATTAGTACAATATGTGCAATTTATGCAATTAAGAATCAAGCATAAGCTTACTCGAGCTTCTTCACGTTTTGGTGGATTTCTCAAGTATAACGTTAATGGAGAGTACAGTAGGCAGACAATTGAAATAGACCAAAGCATCCTAAAAGATTGTTGTCATGGTTTTGTAAATAAATAAATAAATAGATAAATAAATAAGTACTCAGTAATACGAGTTATATAAAAATAGGTATTTCTATTTCATTAAACTAAAATATTTTTTATTTCACTTGAGACTGTTGATAATATATGGTTCAAAATCAATGTTAGTGGTGCAGATCTATTCACGCTTTGTAACCTCATCTCTCAGATCCCTTAAGTGCTCATGTTCTTCCATGTACTTACTCTTTCTCACCGATGATGTTGCTGACTCTTGTGGACAGGATCACGCAACAGACCGCGGAGAGGTGGGGACAGAAGACAGGAATATGCCGGACCGACAGGAAAACTTTAAAAGATTTAAGCTTCATGGACACCTTATGTCTAATACCACACAAACGCGAAGGTCTTCAGGCGAAAACCAATAAGTTGGCAGAAGAGGTAAGCAGCGAAAACAAAACTGATGAACAACAAAATCAAACACAAGTCACTATTTTGATGTGGTTGTGTTCTCTGAGCTGGATAGTTAATTTGCGAAGCTTTCATCACCCTACTAGGCGACATCTTCAGCGCATACTTCAATTCGTTGAAGTGAGCTTTTAGATTTCTCCACGAGTTTATTAATCATCTCTCTCGGTGACCTAGGACGTGATTCGTTGTTTTTGTGTCTTTTCAACACCTTCTAGGCTACTTATATTGTCACTCATTGTTTCTTTGACTTGAACTTTGCCCCTTTGTGTGTGAGGTTTCTTTCTTATCGATTGATAAATTTTGTCAATCTCGATGTGTCTGTTGATTGATGATTCACTGGAATGCCAAGCTTCTAAAAATTCTCTAGCATTCTTGTTGTTTCCTCTGTTTGATATTTGAACTTTGTCCCAGTCGAATTGATGTCCGTGGTTGTCTATATGTAGTGATATGAGGGAATGGATATCATGTCTTTTGACGGCTAGCTTATGTTCGTGGATATGAAGACGAAGAGGACGTCCACTTTGGCCAATGTAGTGTTTTTCGCAGTTGTTACAATTTATTTTGTAGATGATGTTGGTTTTATCTTCTTTCGTTGTTGAGTCTTTTGGTTGACATGAATGAAGTGATTTTGTTGGTTTGTGTGCGACGTCAATTCCTGAGCTACAAATCTTCATCATATCTACAAGTCACTATCAACAGGAGAAATTTAAAGGAGGTCACCTTATTCACACATGAGAATGCCAAAGTCATTCAGGATTGGAAATGCAAGATAGACGTTTATTACTTTGAAAGCGGTGTGGAAATCTAGTTCACTCAGCAGAAAGAACAATTTTCAAATTTTCAACACTAGTGTCAAGGGATTTAATTCTTCGGTATATTTGAGTGACTTTGCGCGTCATGATAAACATTTCCAGCAGGCTACTGCAGACCGTAAAACGTTGAAGTTGTATATTAGTTAACTGTTTAATGATGACTACTTTAAAGACGGTTTTCTTAACACTGTAACCGGGGAGTTTGTATCACTGATGTCAACGTATTCGGTTATGAAGACATTTACTCAGTTACAGCGATGACTGATAGTCCCATACAGTAGGTAACCAATGCAATCGATCAGTATCCATGCTCACACTAATGGACTACATGTTAACTGGAAATAAAGGAATTATGATAGTCCTATTTGAAAATATTTTGAATGTTACATCTTTAGACATCTTCAGATGCATCAATTAACTTGGAACAATACATATCAGCGGTCTGCATACGTAGCAAGCCAGAATTTGCGTGTTTTGAACTGAGTCGGTTCGCTGAGACCTGAGTAGTTTCCAGCTACTCATACTGGCCAGTCAGTAGTATATACCGTCAAAGAAGTTTCATCTCAGCAAGTTCGGTTTTTTTTTGATGAAGCGATCACTATCATTTTGGGCATTCAGCAATGTCTATTACCACTCTGTTACTACTTTGGTGTTAATCCTCTATTTGATAAACCATTCTTATATAATATTTATTATTGTGACAGTTATTTTATTAGCTGATCGTGACTAGTACATTCTGTGTTATTTAGTACTCGTCAGATGGATGCACCTACATCCCGTGTGAGTGAAAGTGTCTCCACTGAGACTCGAACCTTGCCCTCATCATTTAAAACGCCTAAGAGTTACCCACTAGGCCACTGGGACAGTAGGGGCACTCCTTCTGTAAAGGGTATAATTTATTAACTATTAAATCGAAGATGGCAACTAATATCAACAAGATATGAATTATATTTGAAGAAAATGCTATTTACTTACCAGCTAAAACCGAGACCTTTAACAATTGCACCACTTAAAATAGGTCCTGAAATTAATGAAATAGAAATAGGATTACTTGTACATGCATAAAGATTGTTAAGATTATGTGTAAGGTAAATTAATAGTAATAATAATGATAACTGATTGAAGGATACAAATAAAAACCACTTATATAAACTTTTCTAAGCATCTCGCATGGTCTTAAATCAAACCCTTGAGGAGAGCCTTAAAAATCGTCACTCATACAGTCTTTTGATTACTGGTATTGCAATTAGTATCTCTCTCAAAGAAGACTTAGAAGTAATAATTTCTGGAGTTAAGACTAGACTCAATAGGGAGTAAAATGTTGGAACTCGAGAATTCTTAATACCTCTTAGACAAATATTTGGGAGTATATGTATTCTAGGATAGAAAGCCGAGTCTTTGGTGAAATGGCTTCACATTTTATGCTACACAGGCTAGAACCCCACACTCTATACATGGATTGAATGAATTATAATATTACAAAATATAGAATTTATCAGGAAATATGTGATTAATTCACAGAACTTAGACATTTCTACTCACCAACTGCAAATCCCAAGCAAAATGCAACATCAGCGATAGCATAAACACTTCCATACACGGCAACATGTCTTAAATCAACTAAATAACCCATAATTGGCATCATTGAAGAATCAACCATACCTGAAAGTTAAAAAATAATAATAACAGGTAGGTAATATATTTACGTTTAGTTAATTTGCTCTTCTCATTGATTGGTTATTTTGAGCTGAGATGCTCAGTCTGTGGTGAAAGGGTGGTCCCTACTGCAGACGCTTCGGAGACTTCTGAAGGTAAATATGATGTTATTTTGGTTGACAGTGACCAGTAATGGAATCTGGCTGCGCATTTCATCCTATTCGGGACTCCTCACCTAGATGTACCTGAGTACCTATTATTATTATTTATATTATTGTTTCCCTTAATTCCTAGAGGAACATAGGGCTTCAGCCGTGCGTCTCCATTGCGTTTGGTTCTCTACTAGAGTCTTCACCTGGCTCCAAGTCTGTCCACACGTTTTCATCTCCTCTTCACATGACCTCCTCCAAGTCACCCTTGCACTGACGACCAACTCGCCGCTTCCCTTTTGGGCTCCACTCGAGGGCTTGTCTAGTGATGTCACTTGATGCATTGTTTCCTCAGAGTGTGGCCAATTCACCTCCATTTCTTCCTGCTTATTTGTTTCACAATCGGTTCCTGCTGGGTTGGTTTGTTCGCTCATTGCCAGAGATCTCTGTTGCTGATATTTTCTTGTTGGCCATCTGATCTTGAGTTGTATTGAGTGAAGACAACCGTTAATGAGGGTCTGTAGTTTGTTCGAGGTGCTCTTTATGACGCGCAGTGCAAGTCTCTGATCCGCATAGTAGCACTGACTTCACATTAGAGTTGGAAATCCGGATCTTATTTTTGATGCTGAGTGCTGTTGACCTCCACACAGACTTGAGAGTAGTGAAAGCTTGTCTTGCTTTCCCGATCCTCACTTTGATATCCTCGTCAGTTCCGCCTGTAGTTGAAACGATGCTTCCCAGGTAGGTAGGTAAAGGAGGTTGTTTCTTTCAGGTTTCTCCCATTTATGCTGATCGTTGTCTGTTGTTGTTGGCCAGGAAACTTCATCACCTCTGTTTTCTCTATGTTCACCTGAATTCCTTCCTATCTTTGATGCTTCTTCTGCCAACTTGTTGCTTTTCACTTGCATATCTTCCAGTTTGTGTGAAATCAGACATATATCATCGGTGAAGTCCAGATCCTCCAAGTTTTTGTGTGGGTCCATTTTATGCCTGTTTCCTCATTTCCCGCTGTTTGTCGCATTATCCAATCTACTGCAATCAGGAAAATCATTGGCAATAGTAACTATAGTGAGTGATAATGTTCCACTGAGGCCTTGTGAATAATTCTTTGTCGTTTGAAACGATGGATGTATAGCTTGACTCTCACCTGAAAAACGGTCACTCATTGGATTTTCCAGGTTCGTTCAACTGATGAGCTTCTAATAGAATCAAATGAGCAGCCTGGATTCCACGTAGTTTTATAACGTTAAGCTGCTAACACTGGTACTCACCTAACATCTTTGTTAAGAATTCATTTCACTGAGGTAGACAATAGGCTCTACTGCTGATCAAGTTTTAGAACGACATACTAAGTACTCAACACACACTATATTGAATGAAGTTTTGGTGTTCTCATCTACTAAGAAGACTGGTCCCCAGTAAATGACACAATATACTGCTGAATAATTGATACGAGTGATTGGTTGTCATTCACATCAACTTATAATGCCTGTTATTCCGATCGAATTCATATCAGGTACACAGCTAATCAAAACTCGGCATCGATTAAACGAAACAGCCATCCGATAGTGTTAGCATCACTTCGATTTCACTGGCAAGCACATTCTGGTTGATATCAGTTGTATTCAGTTTTCTATATCGATCAATCAGTCAGGAATAAATTGTATGATACACATTCTTATATTTGCTTTCCTGATGCTATTTATGATGTCAGTTTTAATTTGAATAATTTCCGTTTATAAAGGGAACTGTGGTGAATTTGCACCTTGAACTGTATAAATTGCAAATGGTGAATTCCATTTAAGGAGTTGTCTGAGAGATGAATTTTAAATGATCCTCGACAAATGTAAGTCATTAACAGAGACTTTATGAATGTTTGAGAATAAGTCAGAAACAAGAATGTTTTCTTTTTTTCACTCAGTACGACAGAGTATATAGTAATGGTTGTTTTTTTAAGAACAATTCTCACAAGATTGTAGATACGTCTTACTGATGAGTCTTTACAAATGCGAAATTTCTGTTAGCCTAAGTGTCTAATCGACTAACGCTTAACATCATCGTGAACCGATATCTGTTATGACCGGAACTACGACCTAGTAGACTATGAATGAATACTAACTTAGTGAGCTGACTAATCTGTTCTAATCTCAGGTGAACAACAACAGTAACACCGCCAGCACGCATAGAAAAAAGAAAAGAACAGACGTTGATCAGAGAGCTTTTACTGACTCAAACAAAAGTCAAAATTCTAGACATAAACTCTGTATATATACGGTTAGAATGACCTAGAAAATGCAGTAGTCCAGTGGTGCATTAAAAGTATTAACAGCGAATAGGAATCCAGGAGTCCAAACAGAGGTAAAACACACAGGGCTCACGCCAGTGCACGATAACTCCTTAGAATAATTACTTTAAGGTTTTAGGCAAAATTAAGCAAAACTAGGTGTATATAACAATATCATTTAGAGAACTGTTGAAAATCATGGAGTACTCGGTATCTGCTTCCTCCTCGTTTGAGACCCTTCAACGGTACTCATCAATAACTCCAATTTAGGATTGAATCCAAGATATTATGGACGTGTTGTGAGCCCGTTGAAACATTGCTTAATGTATGCAGAGTTGCATTATGTTTTAAGCATATCGAAAATTGTACGACATATTTGCGGATCCAATATTTACACATTACTAATATTTTTGTCCTCGTCTTATTTTCGGTACTTACATTGACATGAAATGTGTTCTGATAAATCATAACGGAAATGAAATTACCACAGAAGGTTACACAGTATTCAGGGTTAATGTCCTAATTTTCATGAATACCTCATTCGCTAGGATATATGTCAGAATATCTGTACTCCTTGATTCAATTTTGTGCTAAATGTGATGTCTTTTGAGAGATTTAATTCTTACAGGGGTATGTGTACAAGATTACAGTATATCTCTTTGAATAAGACTGTCTAATAATCACTAGAAGAATAAATTTAAAAATACAAATCAAATATACCGCCAGAAAATCGTTTTACTTACCAATAGCGAATCCAAGTCCACCCATTGGAACAATTAAATGTTCAATTCTTGTACAAAATGGAATCTATATAATTGTAATTAAAATAAAACACAACAGCTTCAAGTTTGAATGTTTCTCGTTTAGAGTAGTATGAATACTAAGAAAGTTGACCAAAATATGAATGAGACAAAGTCGCTTCGGTGGTGGTTGATGCGCACTCCAGACCTTAACCTTAATTTACTAGCTAATAATAACCCAGAAGAATGGAAAAGGTTGACTATGAGGTTAACAACCTCACCCTGTAAAAACAATATTACCACTTTTAGTGAAATTTTAAATCTCAAAAGTTGGAGATCTATGTTCCACTCGGTAACCAATCCAATTCCGTGGTTGGTGAACATTCTGTAGAGGCAATGTGAGTTCGTGTTTCTGAGCAATAATCACCGTACATCTTGAATTCTAAGCGGCTAGATTGGCGTATCTTCAAAATCTACCTCAGAATTGTTTCTACCAAAGATTATTGTCTATCCTGCTCTGTAACATCTGTTCAGAACTAATTTAGCGACTGATCTCAGTCCTCACCCTAAAAATCCCCTGTTTACAAGTTTAAATATTACAGATCGATAATACATTATTCGCCCAGTGAATTCCGAATGGGCCACAGGCCTCAGCAACACAGTGACATTTCATTCGACTTCTCGTCATCTTTTTAAGCTTGTTCGATGACTGCCCACTCAGGTTCCATTCGAAGTCTGGTACGTGATGTCATCCAGTGAGCTCCTCAATGTATGTTTAACCTGTCTCTATTTCCTACTACATATTTGCACGGGGATAGGTTCTTGACTGCTAGAGTTTTTTGTTGCTTATCTTTTCTAGCCGGCCATCTGGTCTTCAGTATCAAGTCTGCTTTGCAGTAAGGATTCTGAATTCAAAATTGGATGTTGCATGTACAAACTTTACAGGGAGTGTGAATTTACTAGGTTGGGTATAAATTCACAATTGCCTACATTGAATATCGGATGATGAATTGCACTACACTACGGAGTTATTTCATTGATCAGTCACTACTACCGTTTTAAGCTCGATAGTCTCAACAGCCATCCTCCAGTGAACAGTCTGTGGTCAAGTTAAACTTAAAGCACCACTAACTACCAATGGAGTGTGACCACACCACTGACCTTTAATGGTCCAGTGAGTTTCATCCACGTGAGTTAAAGTTTCTACTCCACTTGATTCAAGTCAAATACCTGCTCTAACACAGTTGCACTTGAAATTTGGTCAGGATAAAGTTTTCCGGTGTTGCTTCGATGTGGGGTTGGTTAAAAAAGAAAGGACAGAAGATAAGTAGTTCAGCGAAGAGTCTCTTTTCGGCGAATTCATTCTCATAGCTGTACAATCGCAAATATATATATGGTTGTTTTGAATGTGTGTGTACATTAAATTTGTCAAACGAAAATACAATTAGTAAGTTCAGATGAATTGGATGTTGATATAAGAGAGTAGAGACAGAGGCTCTAGCCATTAAGCTAGAGGAGCCAGAACAGTGCATACAAAAGAAAATTATTCAACTACTTCTACTTCCATGGTAACAACTGTGTTGATTTGACTTAACTTTTGTTTGTATGCTTATTTTTCTACTCAAAACCCTTGTGTAATTCCGTATATTTTGTTTCCATGTACACCCTGAGTACAACTCTTTCATCAAACTATTCATGTTATTACGCAACTCTTCTTTAACAATCGTTTGTGACAACTCATCACTTTTGTTACTACTCTCTTTTATCAACATCCAATTCATCTGAACTTACTAATTGTATTTTCGTTTGACAAATTTAATGTACACACACATTCAAAACAACCATATATATATTTGCGATTGTACAGCTATGAAAATGAATTCGCCGAAAAGAGACTCTTCGCTGAACTACTTGTCTTCTGTCTTTAAATGTTCTAATGGGAATTTTTCATGAAACAAAAGAAAGGATCTGTTCATGTGGAGATGTCATGAACATAAAAAGTTTCAGCAAGCCGGTTGATGGATATGTGCATCGTTGTGTAATTTGTTTGAGACGAGGTAGTGTCTTAGCAGATAAAGCTGATGATTCAAATATTTCGTAGGAACAATTTTTACCAGGACCCTTGGTAATATTCACCACAGAGTCAACCATTCTAATGACTTTGTGGATCCCATAATGGAGACACACACCACTTCTGTCAAAGGCTTTTGGGGAAGGTTATAAAACAGGATTATAGCCATTAATGGGTGGCAAAGCGATGTTATTTATGGTCATTTAGATGAATACATGCATAGAATGTGATGTAACTTTTCAACTGATACTCGTATGCTAAGCTGGGAGATATTTTTATCACATGTGAGAGCAAGGTATCTTCTGTAACACACCCAAAACTGCTTCCATCGTGTGATTGGCGCGTTCAAGGTTATCCTCTGATAGGTAGTTAGTGGTGCTTAAAGTTTAGCTTTGCCCATTTTGTATAAGACTCAGTGAAATATATATTTTACGAATGTGTGTAGTTCTCATACACTTCAGAAAAAGAATATATAATCCCAATAAATATAACTACACTTACAGCAAGTAGACAAATTCCACATATCACCATACCGATCCCAGCACTTAAACCTCTACCAATTTTATGCGCGATTGGACCAAATACATTTGTACCAATAAAATAGGCAATACTACACGGTAAGAAAGCAACACCTTGTTGCCATCCTTCAGATTTCATTGTATTCCACATCCATAAAGGTAAGGTTGGTTCAAGCATAGCTATACCCATATTACCAAATGTTATTGAACCTTGAAATAAAAAGGGGGAAATTAAAAAGGAAAAGGATCCGTTAACAGAAATAGTTTCAAACAAAGTAGTAGGGTAAATAGTTATATTTTCACTGATCACTGACTACAGAATGAAGGTTCTAGAAATTCCAATGGAAAGTCCTGAACATTGAGGGACATTAAGTTGGGTGTTAGAAGAGATATTCACCGATGGCGTCGGTTGGTGCTCACGCTGTATATCACGAATCGGCAGAAAGTAGAATTAATGGACTGGCCATTGCATTCCGTACCAGAGGCTCAACGGTCAATAAGACTGGCCTCATAACCTGTGAGTTCTGGGTATATCTTCAGTGGGGTCACAGGTGCCACCTAAATCTCTGAGTCAGGAAAGCCAACTGTTGTGCGACGAGTATCAGAAATCCTGTCCATACAACAAGAAATTTAAACTAGCCTGAACAAATAACAACTGATGCCAGTTAAACAAGAAGTGCCTCACGTAGTTAAGTGGTCTCACTGTCGTTTGCTACTATGGGTTCAACATTCAATTCTCCATAAGAAATGTATCGATCACCTTGGATGAATATGCACCCAGTTGACGAGTCCCATATCGGGCGAAATCATCATCCATTTAAGTATTAAAGCCAGAAATTAGCAGTATTATGATATCACCACCAAAATAACAAATAAATTACTGTGATTCCCACCTTAGTTATTTAAACTGTTGGAGATGCATTACTTCTGGGATGTCTTAATACTTTTAATAGACGGCGACCTACTTGAAATTTCATCCAGGATAGTGTTCTAATATCTTTGGATCTCAGCATGTAGTCACAAGCACATATTCTTTAGTTTTTAAACTATTACTATCCTCTTCTTAAGGTAAATTAAAGAAAAATACCATAGAGGATTGGATTATACTAAACATTAGTCCTGCAAAATATAAATTGAGCCATTTTGTTTAACAGGTATTTTTTATTTCTCTGCATTCCGAGTGGAAAATAAGACTTCAAGCTTAAGATTTGAAGTTCTATTAGCAGTGGGGTTAGTAGCCTCATGCGAAATATTCCCTGTTTATTGGTCTTACTACCGGCTAAGCAAGGCTTATAAGTGCGTCGACTAGGAGTCGAATCCCTCGATTCAAGTGTTCTACCAATGAACCACTGACTCACAACGCAGTTTCTACTTTACAGTGATAAAGTTAGAACGCAGTATTTATCTATTTACTTCCTAACAACTCGTAACATGTAGGCTTCAAGTGGCACGAGTCAACAAGTTTGTTTCAGAAGGTGTTATTTCGAAATATAGTTTTCAAATCATGTAGTTCATAAGAGCAGTAAATCAATTTTAATTGAAATTACCTGCAGCTATCAGTATATACGGATCTCTGAGAAGTTCACACAGAGCAGCACCTTCTTCTTCTTCTTTACGTACTGCTGGTTTCAAAGCGATCACCTGTAAAACTGGTGGAAAAAGAATTCAAGTTTTTGTAGTAGTAGTAGTATTAGCAGTATGAATAAGATAAACATTAAAATATATTCTGATTAGTAATAGGACACAGAAGTAAATTATTATTGGTTTTTAATGGTTGCTCAACAAAAGTCGATTTGTGTTGAATCTTTAAATCAATCGAATTAGTCTAGTACTGACTCGTGAATGATTACAGGATGAAATCGTCTGAAATTATACTGGGAATCCATAATCAGTGTGATCTACCAAATGGAGTGTGACGATCTCAACAATGAATGATGTAGGTAGGCGGTGGTGTCATATATTGTGAAGTGGCAGAATTAAGAACTGGCCAGTCAGTCAGTGAATTTCATTCCAGTGACTGTCAATGATTAACGAGACTGACTTGTAACCTGAAGATCCTGGTGTTTCTGCAACAAAAACAAAGTGTATATTTAGAGAATTGTTGTCACCTTCAAAACTACTGAACTTATTTGTTTTATCAAGACTCCAGTGATCACGGCAATATTCTTATTGAAAATTTGAAGGTAATAGGACATGCATTCATTTTGGAAATGACTTATACGCTTAACTTAGGTGTGCTCTTTGAAAACGATGGTACTGTTTGAGATACTTTGGTACCAGGAAATATTATTCATAAAATTGCTCACCTTTTCTCACTTCACCCTAACTAGGCTGTAAGGAATCAGCTAAGTCTAAAACATCATATTTAAACAATACGGCTTATCTGTACGTTATTATCAAAATAGGTTATTCCATAAGGGTATTATGTTCAGAAATATATGTTTTAACAAATAACCAGTATTATTATTCCCTTGGCTTCCTAGTGGAACATAGGGCTTCAACAACATATCTCTACTTTCTTCAATTTTCTGCCGTCTTCTTCATCTGGCTAGCTCCAGGATTGCCAAGAATCTCTCATCTACTCCTTCCCAACACACGATATCCTCCATATCACTATCCACTCTCGCACCGGCGACCCACTTGTCGATTCCTGTTCACCTTCCATTTGGGTGATGGCCTACATCGCACGCGATACCATTCGACAGCCTCCTCAGTGGCCTATGACCGATCCATCTCCGTTTTCTCCTACATATTTGTTGAGCAATCGACTCTCGCTCGTTGATTTTTTGCCAGCCAGAGCTTCTTGTTGCTACTTCTTTCTCGCCAGCCGGCTGCCTTCAGTGGCTTGTTGGAAATGCTTTTCTTGACGCGAGTGCGGTGCACGCTTCTGAAACGTATAGAAGCACTGACTGACTTCACATTTGTGTTGAACAGAATCCGAATCTTGTTGTTTATGCTGGCTGGCTGGCTTTGAAATCTTCATCCATGTTGTTTGATTGTCTGTGGTTGAAACCGTGCTTCCTGGCTGGATAAGTGAATGCAGGAAGTGACCTCTGTCAAACCACTCCTGTTGATGTTGACTGGTGCTGGTTGTTATTGCTGTCGTTGTTAGTTGTTTGATTATATTCATCACCTCCATCTTCTCTGTGTTCCCCTGGAGTCCTGTCTTCGCTAACCACCTCTTCAGTCAAATTGTTGGTCTTCGCCTACCTGTAAGTCTTCGAGTTTGCGTGACATTAAACATAAATCATCCACATGCGAAATTCAGATCTTCTAGAGTCGTCTTAACCGTCCATATGTATTCCTGTCTTTCCACTCCCTCTCACGTTGTACCGCATAATCCAGTCCACCACAATTAGGAATATCATCCTTGATAGTGGTGGGTAACCTTGCCTTACTCCTGTATCCACTTCGAAAGCCTCGCTGAGTTTTCCGTTATGTATCACCTGACATGTGTGATTATATATATATATATGCATTAAGAAAGCTGCTAAAGAAAACCCTAAAGCCAATAAACTCTGTCTCAGCTTGCATACAGTATACAAATGAAGTGGAATCATTTTATGGAACTCCAGACTGTCTACACTCTTTAGTCAAAAGACGAACTGATGGGAAATTTAAGCTCACGACACATAGGAAACCCACATATTCAAACAATGTTTGGATTTCCCACCTTATCATGCCAAAAGTATGAGAGTTCCAGTAGCTTTAAATCTTCTAAGTAGAGCTAGAAAAAAATATTATAACCATAAACGATAATGTGGCGAAGAAGATGACCACTGTAAAACAAGTCTTGACTGAGAACTGTTATTAAAAAAAGTTACTAAAAAGCATTTTCAACTGAAATCGTAGGAAAGAAAGAAGAAGACTGAGATAGACTTCAGTGTCAACATTAAGTATTACATTGCAAAAAGATACGACTGGAAGACTTCTAAGGGTTTTTACTTCTTATGGTGTTAAAGTCTATTTTAAGCCCTCTAATTCTCTAGAGGAAGTTTTAGTTATTACCAATGATATATTTTGCCAAAATAACACGAAACAACTATGTCTGTGGGATAAAATATTCAGAATATGATGCTTGATATATCGGAAAAGCAGTAGACAACTGAAGAGGTTACAGTGACAGAACACAGGCTGTGAACGAAGCATCCGCCTAGAAATGGAGCAGAATTAAAAAGTGTCAAAGAAGGAAAGTTGTAGCTTTAACGACGCATGTTATAGAAAGCGGAGATAAGATCGATTTTGACAATGTCAAAACTCTAGAAGAAGGCCTCCATTCACATAGAGAAAGGCTGACCTCTGAACCCTTGCATACTTTAACTGCTTTGAGTGCTATAAATATGAGAGAAGGCATTGACTTATCACCTATACATCAAACCAAAACGTGAAACTTTAATGAAACAAAACTAATGATAAAATTATTCGTTACCATTTTTTAATCTCTGAACACTTATTATAACTTTCATTTATGGGTTTGCGTGTTTTTCATACAAAAACACCGTACATATACATATACAGGCAAATATACAGACTTCCATTTCTCCCTCATTAAACCATGCTGAAGTGTTCATGTAGAAAGCATTATCTGACTGTGATCAAATTACATACCCACACAAGAGAGCAGAACTGGTTTCGTCGGGAAGAAAATCTTAATGACCAGTTTGAAATGTTCCTCGTTCATACTATTATTATCAATAAACCGGTTAGAGTATTCGTTCTCAGCAAGACTAGTTCTTAAAAAATGAAGTTCAATACTGACGCAGTCAGGAGTGCAGACTTGTTATGCACATAATCTGTAAAACTGACTGACCGAACAACCTTCTGATTGCATCACTAGATGACGCTGAGCTAATTCTCAAATACGACATAAGCTCTTTCGAGGTTGGAGATACACCTTGAGAACAATTTTCAGTAAGAACCGAAATCAGGTCCACAGCCTACTTACGATTGCCATGAGGCGTTTAACATCCATTCAGAAAGTTCGCACCGATAATGAGTCTCCTAGGTTGGCAACTACATTGCAGGCTTAACTAATATATAATTCAGACAGCAGCATGAATAAGGAACAGACATAGAACGTTGTTAATTTCCCAGTTTACAGACAAATGTAAATTTCCCCTGTATAATTTCGGTCTGATAAAACACATGACCAATATTAACTGTCCCTATAACAAGTGATAACTAATTATCTGTAATTATTTTTTTTATTGTGATAGGATATTTTTAGAATATCGAAAATAATAGAATATTGCATGACTTCATGTAAAGTTATTTTTAAGTTTAAAGGGAACTCATTGTAGATGTATTTTTCGAAGGGTGTTTAAACAGAATACAATCAACAGATGTTGTTAATAGAACAGAATTTAATGAATTCATCAAATTTCGGTAGAACTCTTCATCTGCTAAATACTCTACATATTGTTAAGAATACATTGCAGGATATATATAGCTAACAAGTCGTGCTCAGATAGATAAGGGCGAATGGGTTTAAGGGTATAAAATTAAGACAACAGTAGGATACAGTTCTGTTACATCTCTTGTACTTGTTAGACCTAGAGGCTGGTACTGTCGATCTCATAAAGAACACATGGAATTACATCCAAGATATATAGCTGATATTTTAATTGACCGTGAAATTAGATCAGAGGCAGATATTTTATTTCTGAAAAATTTAACTCACTCCACCTCAAGCTTAACTTCACAGTAAGACACAAAGGAAATGATACCATTGGATTCCTAAATCTCTCTGTGAAACACGAAAATGAAAGATCCATATCAAGTCGTAGTGGATGGAACAGCGTATAACTTATCAGTTCTTCAACACATCTATCTAATAGGCTTCAGTGAGCTGAGTTCTGCCATGGAGAAGCGCCAGCTACAGAGATTATTCGAAACCAGGTAGAACCCAACAGCTGTTTCATCCTAGCTTGTAACTCTTCACTGAGGCAATCTCCAGTGCTCCATAGTCCTCAATGATCCTCCTGTTCGTGTCATTCGTGATTAGTCCTTGCACGTAAAGGAGAAAGACGAATGATGCGAAAAATCCAAAATAATTGTGTCTGAATTCACAAATCTTTAAAACTATTTTTAACTACTGTAGAATTCTGGTACAGTCTGCATATATATATATATATATATATATAACTAAAATAAACTAAGCGCCAGTGGTTCAGGGGTAGAGTTCTCCCCATTCGACTCACTGCTAAGCCTCGCTTAATCGCTGGGAAGCCAAGAAAAAAAGCGAAGGTCACACGTAAAGCTATCAGTCTCAACCTGTAAAATTAACACTGCCGCTGCTGAAAATTTAAAGACTAAAGCGCCTAAAGCCATTTCCGTCTATCGTGACACAAAGGGGTAAAAAACAGATATGAACAAATGTTGTAAACTATGTTATATATAAGAGAATACAATCACTTACCTCCATCAGCTAGTGCAAGAGTGGCTAGAATCAGAAATGGAGCCTCTTTATTAATAAATTGATAAGTAATTCCTCCAAATGGTGGACCAACTGGAAAAAAAAAAAGAAGAACATCAAAATGAAATAGTGTGTAGTGTCTAGAAGTGTATTACTTCCTCCGCTCCATACTATATTATTATTATTGTTCCCTTGGGTTCCTAGTGGAACATAGGGCTTCAACTGCACGTCTCCACTTGCTTCTGTCTTGTGCTGTACTTTTCACTTGCATCCATGTTAATCCATACTGTTTCAGCTCCTCTTCACACGATCTCCTCCATGTCACCCTTGCACTGACGTCCCACTCGCCGCTTCCCTTTCGGGTTCCACTCGAGCTATGGCCTGACGCGCGATGTCACCCAACGGCCTCCTCAGCGAGTGTCCAATCCATCTCCACTTTCTCCTGCATATTTGTTGAGCGATTGGTTCTTGTTTTGTTTGTTCCCATAGTTTCTTGTTGGTGATTCTTTCCGGCCATCTGATCTTCAGTATAGAGCGAAGACAGTTGTTGATAAAGGTCTGCAACAGGCTGTTGGAAATATTCTTTGTGACCCGCCAAGTTTCTGATCCGTATAGAAGAACTGACTTGACGTTTGTATTGAAAATCCGAATTTTGTTGTTCAGTGTTGCTGAGTGACGAAGATTTCCAGATTGGTTTCAGGTTGATGAATGTGTTTCTCGCCTTACCGATTCTCGATTTGACATCCTCGTCCGTTCCTCCTGTGGTTGAGACAATGCTCCCTAGATAAGTGAATGAAGTAACCTCTTTCAAATCCCTCCCGTTGATGGTGATTGGCGCTGGATGTTGCTGCTGCTGTTGTTGTTGGTTGGTTGGTTATTTTCATAACCTCCGTCTTGTCTATGTTCACCTGGAGTCCTGTCTTCTCCAGCTGCTTCTTCGACCAGTTTGTCGGTTTTCGCTTGTAAGTCTTCGATTTTGTGTGACATCAAACATAAATCATCCACGCGCGAAATCCAGGTCTTCTAGATTCTTCACGTCGGTGGTCCAGGATATCCCTGTCTTCTCGTTTCCCACTGTCTGACGCATAATCCAGTCCACCACAATTAGGAATATCATTGGTGATAATAAGCACCCTTGTTTGACTCCTGTGTTTACTCCAAACGCCTCGCTGAGTTTTCCGTTGTGGATCACTTGACATGTGCCGTTGTCGTACAGCTGTTGAATAAGGTTGATGAATATTTGGGGTACGCCGTAGTACTCGAGTAGTTTCCAAATTACTTCGCGGTCAACACTGTCGAAGGCCTTCTCAAAGTCTATAAAGTTGAGGTAGAGATTTGATTGCCATTCCATGCTTTGTTCGATGATGATGCGTAGAGTTGCAATTTGGTCAGAACATGATTTGCCTTTCCTGAATCCAGCTTGTTCTGGTCGGAGTTCTGTATCCAGTGCGTCCTTGATTCTCTCCAGGATGATGCGACTCAGGATTTTACTTGGCGTCGACAGGAGCATGATTCCTCGCCAGTTCTTGCAGAGTCCTAGGTCGCCCTTCTTTGGTAGTTTCACGAGGTAACCTTTCCTCCAGTCAGTAGGCACCTTTCCCTCTTTCCAGACCTTTTGCAATAATGGAGTCAGCATATCTGCCGTCGTTTCTGGGTCCGCTTTCAGTGCTTCAGGGGGTATTCCATCTGGTCCAGCTGCTTTTCCAGCTTTCAGAAGCTTGATTGCATTCATGACTTCAGTTTTCTTTGGAGGATTGGTGTCAACTTGCAGTTGTGTACGTGCTGTTGTTGGTATTTCTGGACGGGTTGCAGGTGGTGGTCTGTTCAAGAGTTCTTTGAAGTGGTTCGCCCATTGTTTAATCTGTCTTTCTTCTTTGGTAATTGGGTTCCCTTGGCTGTCTTTTATAGGTTTCACTTGTGTTGATCTCTTCCCGGATAGGGACTTGGTTATCTGATATAGTGTCCTCAGGTCCCTTTTGCCTGCTGCCTTCTCAGCTTCAGTGGCCAGGTTGTCGTAGAATTGTCTCTTGTCCTTCCTAGCTCTCTTATTCACTTCTTTTTCCAGTGCTGTGTAAGTTGAACTCAGCGTCTCTTTCTCTTGTCCGTCATTGCATTGAATCATTTTCTCTTTCACCATTCTCCTCTCCTCTACTAGCTTCCAAGTGTCTATTGAGAACCATTCCTTGTCTCGTCTCTTCTTTCTTCCTAAAACCGTTGAACACGTTTCGTCAAAGGTCACCTTCAGAGAGTTCCAATGGTCTTCCAAGCATGATTCTTCCGTGATGTCACGTAGTGTTTCCTGCTTTGCTCTGACAGTTGCAGTGAAAATGTCCTGTGTGATTGTGTCCTCCAGTTTTTGAGTGTTGAACTTGCATTGTGGCCTATCCCCAGCTATCCTCGAGGCTTTCAGCTTCACCTTGAAAGTCCATTATACTAGATAGTGGTTTGAACCGACATCTGCTCCTCTCCTCGATTTTGTGTCCAGTAGGCTCCGTCTCCACTTTCTTGAGATTGAAATGAAGTCTATCTGGTTTTTGGTGTGTCCATCTGGTGAAATCCATGTTGCCTTGTGTATATCCCTGTGTTTGAACACACTGCCACCAATCACCAAATCATTGAAGGCGCAGAAGTCTGAGAAGAGTTCACCATTTTCGTTCATTTCACCGAGGGCCTCACGACCCATGGTGAGTTCTCTTTCTGTATTGTCTCCTCCCAGTTTCGCATTCATATCACCCATCAGGATTTTGATATCGCTCTTTGGGACGTTGTCCATTACTGTTTGTAGTTGACTGTAGAAATCCTCCTTCTCTTTTTCTGAGACGTTTGTAGGCACGTAGCATTGAATGATTGTAACCTTTTTTCCTTTTGAGTTGAACCTGGCTGTCATTTTCCAGGAGGAGATTGGTTCTCATTGCATGAGAGCTTTGGTTGCTGTTGGTTACATCATGATGGCTACTCCCTCGGTGTGCTGGTGATCGTCCTCTGGGTGACCGGAGTAGATTATTGTCTCTCCAGTTGCTAGTTGGCTCCTTCCACCTGCTTTCCATCTGTTCTCGCAGATTCCCAACACTTCTACTTTATATCTCCTCATTTCTGCGGCTACCTGAGCAGCCTTCCCAGCTTCGTACATTGTACGAATATTCCACGTCCCCATCCTTATTTTCGCTTTCATCGAAAGAAGGCACATCGGCTGACTGGCTTCCCGAAGGCTTTCACCAGCCTGCGTCATTTCACTTCCACGATTATAGCGAAAAATAAGGTTATTGTTTGTATTTTTAGAATTTTTAATATATTTGTGCGTTGAAGTTTTAGTAGCAATTTGGTTAAGTTTTGGGGGTGGAGTTGCTAGCACCACGCCCCCACCCTCCCTCTTTATCCGGGCTTGGGACCGGCTAGAATACTAGTGACCTAGTAATCTAGGCTCCATACTACCTAATCGCTTTTTCAATTCTATTAATGTTTTTTGGATTAATAATGGCAGCCACTTCTCGTATCTTTCAGCTGCACAGCAATACATTGGTCTCACACAATCATTTGACTTCGCTAGCTTTATTATTTACTACAAGAATAAAAGTGCTGAGTGAAATTGATGTAAGAGAACAGAATGTTCACACTTTGGTAGAATATAACTCCATATTAGGTAAGTTTTATTTTATGCAACACACAGTGAGTTGTCAGACAGCATTAAAATAACTGGATGATGTTTCCAGCACAATCGATTGTTCATAATCATACCCTAAAAAACAAAACATGATAACAGAAAGATTGAGCGAAGAAATATTTACTTTTCAGTTAGATCCTCAGCCAGCATGGCTGCATTTCCGAAAAAAACAATGTTCATAAAACTGCAATTCCTCAGTGACAACATTAGAGCCTGAAGAATGCAGTTAAAAGAGCTTATTATGCAGCAGAGTTACGTTGTCTCTTCAAAACCACCCCTATTCTATGTTCGAGAAATAAGGATAAACTACCTAAATTTGCCTCTTCTATGTGTATCTACAGTTCGACTGCAGCTGCGGAGCCAGCTACATTGGGCGTACAATCAGGCAGGTTCATCGTCGTATTTCTGAACATCATCCAACATGGTTAAGCAAAGGACAAACAAGATCTATTCGTAGTTCTATTTTAGCACACCTTGTTGACACTGAGCATAAGGTTGATGTTAATACTGCACTTATAATTATTTATCGCATTCCGACTAATCTTAATTTCGTCTTTTACAGACAGCTGAAGCAATCGGAATCCACCAGAAGAAGCCTAGCCTATGTGTTCAGAAGAAATTTGTACAGCCACTTTCCTTACCGTGGCCATCGTTACAAGAATGCATAAACAGGACTACGTCGCCCCCCTCCCCCTAAACCTTTAAAAATTATAACTGTCCAAATTATTTTATTTTTATTTTGACCACTTCATCTTTACGTGTTATCCTTGTAAAATTAATTTATTCTAATCATTTCTACTTTTTAAAGGTGTATTGATTTTTTTCGTTAATTATGAACCCATTGACATGTTGACACTGACTAATTATTGTTAACAAACATATCGCCACTTGTTTGGTAAACTGTTGTGTATTGTAATAAAAATCGTAAATATATATTAGAGTAGAGCTAGAGATGAGGATCTAATTGAAAAGTAAATATTTCTTTGCTCAATCTTTCTGTTTTCTAAATGTCTAAATGGGGATTTTTTCTATGATGAAAACATGATAACTTGCTTCATACTAGCTTGTAGACCCATAAGAAAAATAAGAGTAGTAATATTGGTAATGAAAATAGCATGAATAATAAAGAATTGTAGGCTTCGATAGTACTTTTATACAACGTAGGGACACCAAAGAAAGACCTTACGTAGGATTCTAAATAAGGCTGAAATTATGTTGGCCTGTTAAACCAACCAACACACTTAAAGACACATTTTGTCGGCTTAAGGAAGTGACATATCCAATTATAGTGTATTATGTAATAACTGTGAGGTGAATTACATAAGACAAAGTAATAGATCGGCCTCATTTGGGTTATCGGAACATGGGAATTTAACTGAAGCTAGAATGATTGACCATGTTATGTTGAGTAATCTGAAAAATAGATCGATTACTGCAGTGTACTCAGTTGCATGTAAGCACACAGTAGGGTAGGATAGGTTAAAAGTATTAAAAAGCAGTGTTGTGCTACTTCTACCCTTTATGTTGTATTTCTTCGCCTTCTTTTCGTGTCTCCAGAGTTTCGCCAGAATACTGCTTCTTTTCTCCTCTTTGATGTGAAATCTATGTCTCCGATACTTGATATTTTCGTATCAATAAACGTCTCTTTATTATACTACTGGTAATTCTTGCCAGTAGCATACGCAACAGCAAGCCGTGTGAAAGCCTTAATAGGATTATGAGCAATAAACTGTGCTCAAAACATCATCCTATCATTATTACACTGTATCGCTCACTGTGTGCTAAATCAAATAAACTTATATAATAGAGTAAATGAAATTGATTTTTTAAAAATCCCTCCCCTCCTTAAACAGAAAGAAAGAAAGAAGAAGCTTACCCAATACACCCATAGCCAAACCGCTCAAAGCAATAGCGAAAGCGTGACTTCTTTCCTTATCATCACTGTAACAAGTGGCCAGCATACCCATACCTGTATAAGTGTACAATAAAACAGAATTATAAAGTATTCATATCCGAGTTGTGTGTCATAAAATGTACATTCGTAAATCTCTGCTTTCGAGATCAATTTTACATCACTAATCCTCTGTTACTACTAGTATTGACAGTTATGAAGTCACAGGTTTGAACACGAGATGACATCAGTTAGAGAACTACTCGAAAACCACTGAGTATTGGACAGCTGTTCCGTCCTAACTTGGGACACTTCATCGGTATTTACCCATCGGAGTTCGAACTCAGGACCTTTCAGTTACAAGGCGAGCTCGTAGACCATTAATCCACTAGAGTCTTATCCAGGAATCCCAACTCTTGCCAATTCGTAACACAGCGCAATCATCACTCATTTTAATCGGTGAGTTGGCAGACTCAGCTACTGAGGAGACCCAAACCAGGGCAAGACAGCTGTCCGGTACTCTGTGGTTTTCCAGCGGTTTTTTAAGGGATGTCAGCTCTCGATCAAGTCTACAAGGAATCAAATCGCCTTAAACCAACACTTGAAAATCACGAAGTCAAATGACTTTGGACCTTCTGAAAAAATGTGGAACCTGATATTCAGTTAGATTTAAAAAATCTTGTTCTCGTAGATGTAAATAATGTTATTATCCATTCTTTTCGTCATTTAGTGACTTTATTTAGGACATTTAGGGTCACGCTTATTCCGATTTCAGTATATTCCATTTTATCTAACATCTCTGTAAGTCATATATATGAATTAAACCTCACCCTCTATCGTTTCTATATGTTTGCTAGACGCCTCTTAAAACATAAGTTACATAAAACCAGTTCCCATGATTAGTCTGACCAAGGCAAGAGTGAATAAGTATTTGCAGAATAAAAGGATCTGGGGTATTTTTTATTTCACGTCTTTACTTCAACTTCTAATTCGGTGTGAAAAATGAAATAAGGTATTATAAGTGCAAAAAATATATATATAATATCCTTTAGATTTATTTGATCTCAAAGAGCATAGTTGTGGAACAAGAGATATAGTAACATTAGACATCTATACTCTGTTTCCGTATTTTTGTAGCATCACAACTTTCTTATTACAATTCGTTGAGCTGAACTCATTATTAATCTTCCGATTTACTTAATTGTTTGTTTACGTAATAATTTTACTTCTACTCATCGATTCTTTCAACTCTCACCCTTTCATTATGCATAAATTAACTCTTGTTGTTAAATTCTTAACTATCTTACGTTCATAACTCTTGTTCCCCGTACTACTATACCCTTTGAGTTGAAATCGTTTTTCAAGCACGTTACATATTTTATGCATTCATTATAACCTTATTTTATGTTATAGGCTGAAAGAAAAGTTGCAAAATAAAAGATATGAGATTATTTTATCCTGCAAATATGTTTATTCAACCTCTTTTTTTTATAACCCAAGTTTCAGGTTAGACTACGGCTTGACATCAGTTAGAGAACCATTGAAAACCAGCTGGGAGTACTGCCAGACAGCTGTTTCGTCTGCCTTAGTTTGGGGCTCAGTGACAGTACAGACACACGGGGTCTCGAGCTCAATTCCTTCCGGTTACAAGGAAAACTTGCAAAACAGTCAGCCACTGGGACCCAATTCAAAGGCCAGCGCATGAGTTCTACCTCCTACCAATTCGTGAACTTTGGCGCTACCACCAAACAATGTCGTCGATGGGAACTCCATCCTCACTCCCGACTGGATGGACCCCAGTGGTCACGACTTCTCATTAGAACTCCAAAGAACTTCACCCTGTAGTCAGTCAGTTGCTAGCGAGCATCAGATTAATTTTCAAGAATTGCTTTATGTAGGGATTCTACTTGTTTCAAGTTGTACCACAGATTGATATCAGTTACAGAACTGGAAGGTCCCGAGTTCAAAACCAGGTGGGTGCGTACTGCCAATGAGTTCCAAACTAGGATGAAATAACTGTCCCTGGTTTTCAATAGTTCACTAACTGATATCACTCCGTGGTTTAACCTAAAACAAATAAAATCCCTACAATTTAATTCTTGAAAAACCCAAGTTGTTTGTTTAGAGTACACGAGGACTACGTCAGTGTCACAGGAGGTACATATGGTTTACTTAACTAGGGGATTTTTCTGTAAAACGACAATAGTATCATCCTTACCATACCGCGAAATTCACGACGCAACTTCTTGTTCACCATAACTTGATAAAAAAAATGATATTTTGAGGGTGACTATCATCTAGTTAGGTCATTCGAAAATTTTCAAGCTTCTTTAAAGTAGATTTTCAGGTGTATAGGGCATAAAGAGAATGGATAGCGTTTCTTTTTCTACCTAGAGATAACCAGTTGACGAAGTTCATCAACTGCCTCGCGCATTGAATGAGCAATTTCTAGTGCCATTAACTTTCTTTTTATGTCATATACATACGACTGTATGGATTAGAAATGAAGTTATCGAAAATCATATTTCTTCGTCAGGGAAATCTTCGTCTTTTCTAATTCATGAATATAAGGGGAAATTTCATCAAATGAAAAATTTCCAGATTAGGTACTGCTTATTTTTTCTAAATTTTATTCCTTTACGTTTCCAGTGGAACATAGGGCTTCAAGCTAGAGGCCTGAAGTTTTGGTAGCAGAGGTATTTATTTTAACCTCATGCTCAACCTTCCCTCTTTACCAGTCTTATTGCCGGCTTATTGAGGTAAAGGAGTACATCGGCCGGGGATCGAACCCGAACCACTTGAGGCGTGGTTGGCGAGTATCCTACCTATGTACCAACAATGCGCAAGGTACTTCTAATTAGAACATAATCGTTTTTTTCTACCAAACTTCTCCTTCTTATCAAATTACCTGAAACACTGGAACAAGCAGATCCAACGCCTTGTAAAGCTCTTGCGACAAACAACACTGCGTAACTTTCCCCGAATGCGAATACTAAACGAATAAATGACAAGAAAAGAATAAATGCATGATAGTATATGCTACTACTGTAATGACTGGTATAAGTAGTTGGAAACAAATCATGTCATTCTGGTGGTGTTCGTTATCTTGATCAAAGTGAGGTGAAAAACAAACGACTATTGAAAGGGAAGACAGAAACAAATGTAGTAATCTAATACAGACAGTAAGGAATATGCGCGTTAACAACTTATTATTATTCTCTTGGGTTCTCAGTAGGACATACGGCTTCAACTGGACATCTCCATTTCATTCTGTTGTCTGTGGTGCTTTTTTAAACTGGCCCCACGATTCGCTTTAAGCTGTTAACTCGCCTTCACAAAATCTCTTCTATGTCACTCTCGGACACCAAACACACCGTTACCCATCCAGCTTCCTCTTGAGCGCCCGGTGAGTGATATAACTCGGCGATCTCTTCAACATGTGTTCAATCCATCTCCATTCCCTTCTTCAAATGTGCTGGGCCAGCAGTAGGTTCTTGTTGCCATCTGATCTTCATTATAGTGAGAAGGCAGCTGTTGACAAAAAGTCTGTGGTAACCTATTGCAAATGCTATTGGTGATGCACCAAGAACCTATTTGCCACTAGTGAAAAAAAATCTAAATCTTGTTGTTTGTGCCGACTACAGAAGATTTCCACATCGATTTCAGACTAATGAAGGTCATTCCTGATTTTTCCATCTCGATCGGCCTTGAAATCTTCATCTTTACTATCTGTGGTTCAAATGATGTTGGCTTGATTCAATAAGAATTACTTTTGTTACCCAGTCATCACGGTTCACAGACCTTTTAAACTCACTCTAGGTAATTTCTAGCTGATCAGGGCCAACATGATTTAAAAGGCTTTTAGAGAGTGAGCCTAGCTATCAGTAAATTCTAAATCCTAGTTACTTTAAGTTTATCCTTAATGAGTTTCAGAACATCATCGCATCTCACAATTACCCATTTCTTCCGCGAAAGTCACCATCAGAATGATTCCACTTTCAAATTGCTAAATCAGCTCGCATTTGAATTACCAGCAGCACTAACTAATAAGTCTTCTCATTTATCTCAATAGGAACACAATCACTCACTGTCGATACAAGCAAATCTAGCTGACCAGTTCCGGCCACGGCGAAATGCTCATTGCGGATTCCACTACTAGCTATCACCGACCGAGTAAACTTTCTTATAGGTGCCATTTTCATAAACAAACTAGAATTTCTAAATTCCATGATCCACTCTCAGTACGAAATCACCTAATAGAACCAGTGATGAACGCTTGCAAACCAGCATTCAATTGCCAACTAACAGGAAACAGTTTGACCGAAGAAATAAAGATAAAGGTTTAGTGATTAGTGACTTGAAAGTATCTACTGGCCTGCGTCCATTCCTCAGTGCTAGTGGAGACTGAATTTCATGAGTCAAGTTTGCAGTATGGTCAACAACCAAGTTAGGTGACTCACCATCATTGTGTACTATGAAGTGATATTATATGGTTAGAAGTAATCAACAGAAAGAACTGCTTGTAACCAGAGTTTGAGCTTGTTGACACTCGTCATCAAGAAGCATTTTTGACCGTGAAGGAATTCATTTTACCTATGGGATTAGAACTGGTGTCAGAGACGTTATCATGGAGCTATTTGTGATTACGATTGACCTTCTGTAAGACTATAAGTGGTATATTAATTGATGACTGGTCTTTGATGGTGTGGCAGACTGAATTCTATCTGGTTTCAATTTTTAGTTTTCATCTATTGGGTGGTTATTGAAGAAGAACTGAAAATCTGGGTTACGCCAGGATTCAAACCAATGAACTTTGACCGTCTGTGACCTCAGTTAAGAGACACAAGTCTTAATTCAACGGATAAAAAGATTTTACATAATGATAACACTTACCAATAGTTGATGTGAACATAATCACAAATCCTGTGAACATTGGAATACTGTAACCAATTCTGAAGAGGTAAGAATGAAAGCAAAAGGAAATTGCTATCAGTTAAATGCTTCTCAAGGAAATCTTTCTGTAAGAACAGATGAGGGGAAAATAAATATTTTCATTTATTGGTTTTGTAGGGATTGTGTTTGATTGTTTGGAGGGTTTCATCATTAGTTGACATCAGTTAGAAAACCATTGGAAAACCACCTGGGACTACTTAACACCTGTTTCGTTTAGTTTTCCAATAGTTCTCTAACTGATGTCAGCTCATGATTACAGCCTCCAAACAATCAAGCACAATCCCTACAAAACCAATACTTGAAAATTTTTCTGATGATAACTAGCGACTGGTCCTTTTCAGGGAGTTAACCTGGGGTTCTAGTGGAAAGCCGTGACCAGTAGGGTGCAGCAAGTTAAAGGTGAGGCAGTGACTCATGGAAGAAGACATTAGCTAGTGGTCACGCTATTTCATGAATTGCCAGAAGTTAGAATTCATGGGCGATTGGATCGGATCCTGGTGGCTTAATGGTCTACGAACACCAGTGGGTGCGTACTGAAGTAGAATCCCAAACTAGGACGAAACAGCTGTCCAGTACTCTCAGCTGGTTTTCCAATGGTTCTCTAAATGATAGCAGCTCATAATGAAACCCTCCAACCAAAAATAAATACATAAAGTTAAATGAATAAAGTTCAGGTATATGGCTCGTAAAGTGCAAAGCCTCTATTGTTCTTCTTCACAGCTCATTGAATGTTTACACAATTAAGAAGTGAGTTTGGTTTTACAAGTTTTCTGTAAATGGTGTAACCACCACCTCTGACGATGACAGAAATTCTCAAAAATGCCAGGTAATTCCTGAAAACTTGGTACTAGGATTAATTTTCACTGAACAGACATGGTGAAATAAATCATTTCTATCTAGACTAAACTAGCCCATCATCTGTAAACGTATCACTTTGCTTAGCTTTGCAGATATTGTTTACATGTTAGGTGGTGGCAAGACATCATCAGAAAGACTTGTAACTAGGTTTCGCGCTTACTGACATTCGTCATTAATGCGCACTTGCAAACTCGAAGAAAGTGATGATCATCAAATATTTGAACTCGCTTCACAAAGTGTCATAGCCAGAGACATTGCCAGTTTACTATCTCAGCTCAAGCTTAACCTTCCGTAAGGCTGTCATTAAGGTGTAAGCAATATGATTTATTGTACAAGGGACTTTCAAGATGAAGCTAAAAGCCTCGAGGATAGCTGGGGATAGGCCACAATGCAAGTTCAACACGCAAAAACTGAAGGACACAATCACACAGGATATTTTCACTGCAACTGTCAGAGCAAAGCAGGAAACACTACGTGACATCACGGAAGAATCATCCGTGGAAGACCATTGGAACTCTCTGAAGGTAATTTTCAACGAAACGTGTTCAACAGTTTTAGGAAGAAAGAAGAAACAAGACAAGGAATGGCTCTCAACGGACACTTGGAAGCTAATAGAGGAGAGGAGAATGGTGAAAGAGAAAATGATTCAATGCAAAGATGGACAAGAGAAGGAGACGCTGAGCTCGACTTACACAGCACTGGACAAAGAAGTGAAGAAGAGTGCCAGGAAGGACAAAAGACAATTCTACGACAACCTGGCTACTGAAGCTGAGAAGGCAGCAGGCAAAAGGGACCTGAGGACACTATATCAGATAACCAAGTCTCTATCCGGGAAGAGATCAACACAAGTGAAACCTATAAAAGACAGCCAAGGGAACCCAATTACCAAAGAAGAAAGACAGATTAAACAATGGGCGGACCACTTCAAAAGACTCTTGAACAGACCACCACCTACAACCCGTCCAGAAATACCAACAACAGCACGCACACAACTGCAAGTTGACACCAATCCTCCAACGAAAACTGAAGTCATGAATGCAATCAAGCTTCTGAAAGCTGGAAAAGCAGCTGGACCAGATGGAATACCCCCTGAAGCACTGAAAGCGGACCCAGAGACGACAGCAGATATGCTGATTCCATTATTGCAAAAGGTCTGGAAAGAGGGAAAGGTGCCTACTGACTGGAGGAAAGGTTACCTAGTGAAACTACCAAAGAAGGGCGACCTAGGACTCTGCAAGAACTGGCGAGGAATCATGCTCCTGTCGACGCCAAGTAAAATCCTGAGTCGCATCATCCTGGAGAGAATAAAGGACGCACTGGATACAGAACTCCGACCAGAACAAGCTGGATTCAGGAAAGGCAAATCATGTTCTGACCAAATTGCAACTCTACACATTATCATCGAACAAAGCATGGAATGGCAATCAAATCTCTACCTCAACTTCATAGACTTTGAGAAGGCCTTCGACAGCGTTGACCGCGAAGTAATTTGGAAACCACTCGAGTACTACGGCGTACCCCAAATATTCATCAACCTTATTCAACAGCTGTACGACAACGGCACATGTCAAGTGATCCACAACGGAAAACTCAGCGAGGCGTTTGGAGTAAACACAGGAGTCAGACAAGGGTGCTTATTATCACCAATGATATTCCTAATTGTGGTGGACTGGATTATGCGTCAGACAGTGGGAAACGAGAAGACAGGGATATCCTGGACCGACGTGAAGAATCTAGAAGACCTGGATTTCGCGCGTGGATGATTTATGTTTGATGTCACACAAAATCGAAGACTTACAAGCGAAAACCGACAAACTGGTCGAAGAAGCAGCTGGAGAAGACAGGACTCCAGGTGAACATAGACAAGACGGAGGTTATGAAAATAACCAACCAACCAACAACAACAACAGCAGCAACATCCAGCGCCAATCACCATCAACGGGAAGGATTTGAAAGAGGTTACTTCATTCACTTATCTAGGGAGCATTGTCTCAACTACAGGAGGAACGGACGAGGATGTCAAATCGAGAATCGGGAAGGCGAGAAACACATTCATCAACCTGAAACCAATCTGGAAATCTTCGTCACTCAGCAACATCAACAACAAAATTCGGATTTTCAATACAAACGTCAAGTCAGTTCTTCTATATGGATCAGAAACTTGGCGGGTCACAAAGAATATTTCCAACAGCCTGTTGCAGACCTTTATCAACAACTGTCTTCGCTCTATACTGAAGATCAGATGGCCGGAAAGAATCACAAACAAGAAGCTATGGGAACAAACAAAACAAGAACCAATCGCCCAACAAATATGCAGGAGAAAGTGGAGATGGATTGGACACTCGCTGAGGAGGCCGTTGGGTGACATCGCGCGTCAGGCCAACGCTCGAGTGGAACCCGAAAGGGAAGCGGCGAGTGGGACGTCCAAGGGTGACATGGAGGAGATCGTGTGAAGAGGAGCTGAAACAGTATGGATTAACATGGATGCAAGTGAAAAGTACAGCAGAAGACAGAAGCAAGTGGAGACGTGCAGTTGAAGCCCTATGTTCCACTAGGAACCCAAGGGAACAATAATAATATTATTTATTCAGTTTTTAGTGTCGATGCTGTCTCAGTTTTATCAGTCAACTCCTCATTTATCTGTTTTCAATATGTCATACAACAAATGATTTAGTGATCCCATCAGACATCGAATACATTGAATGACCCAACGGTTAAGTGAAATATGTTGTTAGGAGTGTGCTTAAATGAAATCAGTTTGGAGAGAACAAATATTTAAGAATTCATTAGTAAGACATACCGACTTTTCAGACTAATAATTAAATATATATCATACAGTAAGCTCAACTAACTGATTGCTAAAAATAGTCATTCGTATTCCTTCACAGTTAATTAATTCACATATGTATTTATCTTGAAAGATAGCAAGGTATAGGTCACCACAAATATTAAGGCATTCCTATCAACCTTCCAGAGCTGAAGATAAACATCCCAGTGACATTACTGGGGAGTAGCCATTATACATTTAGGGTAACGATATTTCACAGTATTCTATAACAGGTGTAGTAAGGTGTACACCTTAATTTTTTCTATGACACTCATCACACTAAAGTACATTTCTGGGAATTACCATATGCCATTTGTTCTATGACACATGGAGACAAGTTAGAATTTACGGATCACTCAATGAGCACCAACTCGATGACTGAATATGCAGTGGTCTTGTCCTGGATTCTACTTTTTATGTTGTCATTGACCTACACTGTAGAAGAGCCCTGAACTAGGACGGAACAGCTCTCCAGGGCCCCTCGCCTTTAGTATTCTCTAGTTGATGTTGGTTCTTAACGAAATCTATACTGAAATTAATCCAAATTCCTACAGATCAGATAATTTTTACATTGATCTCCAAGTCACTGATGGCTACTGGATGAATATTCTGAAGTCGTAATTAAAAGTCATGGACAGGAGATTCCACCATGTCAAGGTGATGTTGATGTTCATCGAAGACACTAGCTGAGGGTAGCACTATATGGTGAAGCGATAGAAGTTAGAATTCACACTTTATTTAATTCCCATCCACCTGGCTGAATGGTTAGAGAGTTTGGCCTCGTAACCTGAAGGTTTTCGGTTCGATCACTGTTACGAGCAAGCTGCCGAGGTGTCGGTCCCAAAAAAGAACAAAACAGCTGTTCCACTGCGCTCTCTGCCTTCCAGCGATTTTCAAACTCATGTGTATTCATGACAAAATCTACACTGGACCTAATTATCAAGGGTTGATTTGTTTTTTGAGTTAGACCACGGACTGATATCAGTGAAGTCCATCTAGTCGGGATTGAGGATGCACTTTCCACCGATGACATTGGTTAGTGGTCACGCTGGAAATCACGAATTGGTAGAAGGTAGAATTCATGGACCGGCCATTGAATTGGATCCCAGTGACTGAATGGTATACGAGCTTGCCTTGTAACCGGAAGAACTTCGGCCCGAAACTAGGGCAGACGAAACAGCTGTCCAATACTCCTTGATATTCAATCGTTCTCTAACTGATTTTGATCCGTGGTGTAACTCTAGGAACTAATTATATCATTTTTCTACAAAGAAGATTACAAAAATGGTATTTTTCCGGTATTTCTACATAAAATAAGCCTAAATAGAAGGTGTGATAGATGCGAAACACAAGCTGTATCACTTACTTGTTAGTCAACGGACCAATTAATGGATTGACTAGCAGTTGAACAAACGCTTTTGATGCAAACATCAATCCAACTTGTATATGTTCATTGCCTATCTCTTCATTCATTATCTTATCAATTTCTTCAGTTGCATTTGCTATACAATGATTAAATCTAGTATCCTGTAGTAAATATTTTATTCTATCATCGTCTAATAAAGCGTGTAGTTCATCTTTTATTTCTATTGGTTTATTATAACCAACATGTCCTCTAGATGCCCATAATATAGATTTTTGTAGCCGTTTCTTATCTGATGCATTTAATAATCTTATACAATATTCATCTTGTAGTAAAGTTTCTTTTAAAGTTGTTGATAAATTTCTTGTACGATGTGCCATTAAAAAATCAGGGATAATAGGAACTAAATAAAAGGAAGCAAAAAAGAAACTAAACAGCAAAATTACGAAATAAATTATATTATTTTGAAACAAAAGTTTTACAATTTTCGGGTACAAGTCTGAGAAATTACTGTGAATTATAGGTTAGGTATGTTTATATGAAGTGCGTCGGTGGTTCAGCTGCAAAGCGTTGACCAACAATGCACGTGGTCTGGGTTCGAGTCCCGGCCAGCGCACTCCTTTACCTGCCCTAGCTAGACAAGCAGGAAAGGTTGGGCACGAGACTAGCTACACCACTCCGTAAAATCACCACTGCTACTGATACTTCAAAGCTAAAGCTTGAAGCTCTATGTTCCACTGAGAACGTAGAGGAATTAAAAAATGTTTATATGATAGCCACTCCTTTAATGTGTTCATGGCTGTCATCTGGGTAACATTGGAGTAGATTATTGACTCTGTAGTTAACCATTTAGAAAGTCTACTTACAGATTCCTAACACTTTCAGGCTATATCTCCTTATCTCTCCTGAAATATGAACAACCTTTATTGCTTCGAACATCGTGAGAACATCCGATGTCCTTAAGTTAATTTTTACTCTCATTGAAAGAAGACATATAGGTTGACTAGCTTCTTGAAAGCCTTCACCAGACAGTGTCATTTCGTCTTGTTGACTCTAGAGAACACAAAGTTTATTTTGAAAATTCTTTTCACTCTTTGAAGTTTATGTAGTGACTGGAGTCATTTTCCGAGAAAAGATCACTGTCCACACATTCCACTTTTCCTCTTATTTTTTCTCGGCCTTAGAGCCGGTTAGTAAACTAGTGAACTAAGCGTCAAGATCTCAAATGGGACCTGGAATGGAAATGATGAAATAGACATGAATGAAATGCATTTGTGCTGCTGAAGCCCTATATTCTACTCGGAACCCAGGGGAATATGATTCACGGCACATTATTATTATTATTCATGGGATATAGGACCTCGATAGCACGTTTCCATACACTTTGTTCTACGCCATCACTTCCGACGGGCTTAAGTGTTAAAAATTCGGATATGACAAGTAATAACGTATTAATGAGTGAATAATTTAACAACTGCAAATTTAGGCTCAACATCATTTATGATCAATTAAATACGATGATCAGCAGACGGTGACACATCACTGATCCTCATGGCATTTAGGTACTACCCATAGTAACTAGGGTGGAATGATGACTTTTTCACCATTTGAGTCTAGTAGCTTTACCGGCGGAATTCTAGAATTATAAAATCTGAGGCTGTCAGTTCAAATCTTTTAAAATCATCTTCAGTCATCACCAGTTACATGACATAATTCACAAATTTCTTCAGTGTTTAATCCTTATAATGTTCACATTATTCTCTCTGTGTGCAGTTCAGTGATTGTGAATATCATTAGGATGTGTCTGTGTTTACAGCAGTGTTTGTCTGTATTAGGTGGTTGGAAGCTATTGGCAAGTAATCTTGGACCTAAATTTCTTGCTTGCTGGCATTCTTAAAAAGACAGTTGCAGTGATGAAATTTTCTTTCCGATGAAGTCATCAACTGGGCTGTACATTCGTGTAATTATATTACACGTGTGAGAAAGTTCCAGAATTATTTCCTATCAGAGGTCAGATTAATAAAATTAATAAGCGTAATAAACATAAGATAGGTAGTGGCACTTTTTAAAATATTTCAGCTCAAAGGTCAAATTAAAAATAATCAGGAAGATAGGGTAGAAAAGACAAAATAGGATTATAATTACTGGAAAACTCGTCAGTTTGTATAATTACCGGTTAAGGACGTAGTATTAACGAGGTGGGTAGGAAGTTTGGACATATAAAGATAAAAACAGTAACCAAATCTAATAATGCAGATAGGGATTTTAAAAAAAAGGTAAATATGACAGAAATAAATGGGAAGGTTGGACACAGAAAGGTAATAGGATAATCATTATTGGCAAGACTGACTTTTCATGATGGCCACGGTAGGGACAATGGTATTCCTTTTGGACACATAGAGAGTGTAACATGCGGACGACGCATGTTACGACCAATGTACTCAGTTCCACAAGAGCAAGTGAACTTGTGTATGCAATGTGACAACTTTTCATTCACGTGTTGGATGAGTAGTTTCATCAGAAAAGTGTATCTTCAAACTTTAACTGATAATCCCTTACCAGATTCGAACCTGAAGGAGACTAACCACTGAGCTATCTGGGTTCACAACTGACGTCCTGTAGGACTGTAGTAGATACACTGATTGGTGGCAAGACACGTAACTAAAGTAACTAATGATGGTTGAAGGTGGAAACATAAAGCTAGTCAATGATTTTCTAAGATGTCTGGCGATTGCATTCAATAACACTTTTGTTCCTTTTGTACGGAGACTCTTAGGAATGTGCTCAGAAAATCTAGTAGATGCTCTCCTCTCAGTCCTTCCTTCCTATGTAATTGCTTCCGCAAGTGCAAGTGAATTGGTAAATGTAGTTGGAGTTGACGTGAGCAGGGTACTCATCCCCTTTTGACTGGGTTAACGAGCACACAGTGTTGTGAAATAGGATGAGTCCGGCGGCTGGAAACGTTCTTTTTAATGCACCTGTGATTCCTTTTTGTGTTCTTGTGGATACGTCTTCCCCTTTGTACGCTAGTCAGATGAAAAGTGGTTTCTTTTCAACGGTGTCAGGTTTCGGTTTCTGTGCTTCTTCATTTCTATATTTCACTATGAACTTTCGGGGATATCCATTCTCGATGATGTTCTTTTCGATGACCGCGAGTTCTTCTTCAATCTTGTCTTCCGAACATATTTCTTTGGCTTTGCTGAAGAGCGTTTTTACTAGACTTCGTTTGTAACTGGTTGGGCAAAAGCTGTGATAATTTAAGTATTGACCAGTCCAAGTTTCTTTCCTGTAGACAGATTTTTGAATCGTCCCATCGTTTCTTCTTTTTATGTTGACATCTAGGAAATGGAACTGGTTGTTTCTTTCGTAGTCAATTGTAAATGCAATGTTGGGATGAGCCGCATTGAGTTTCTCAAACATTGCGGACGCGTGTTCTATATCATTGCAGATCACAAACGTGTCGTCAACATATCTGCAGTAATAGGTGCTTCTTTCTATTTCTTCTTTCATTCGGGTTTGTTCAAGATGAGCCATGAATATGTCAGCAAGAACAGGACCCAGAGGTGAACCCGTAACCACCCCGTCAATCGGCCGGTAGAGCTGATTGTTGAATCGGAATTGAATATTCTTTGTACATAGAAGTAACAATTTGCGTAGCTCATTTTCTGGATGAGGAAGCAGTTCGAACTGCTGGCATATGATTTTTACCGTTTCTTCGATGGGTATGCTGGTAAACAGTGAGGTTATCTATTCAGATGACCAGAATACATAATATGTACATTTAAAAAAATTATCTTAGTTAATAAATGAAGTAAAATTAGATTTGGGAAGGGCTATAATTCGTCAGATCTTTAGAAATAAAGATAACTCATAAGATTTCTAGTTATCGGTTCAACTTATGTAATAAGTAGGCAAGTTTCACTTGGATAATTAACTGGAGATAATTGCAAAGATATAACAAAATGTTCATTTTATAACTTACCAACTGTTGTTAATAACATATTGTCTAGAAATAATGCAACAAATACAATAAATAGTATCATTCTTCGATCACCAAAACATCCTCTTAGTCGACTTCCACCACCGGTTAATTTATCCATACCAGAATTTTTCCTATCCTCCTCTGAATCATTCATATCGGCATAAGCCATTCTTTTAATGCGTTCTAAAAGATTTTACAATTTAATTTAAAAGAAAAGCTTTAACATTCCATAATTATCCTAATAAATTAATCAGGAAGTATATAAGAAGCTGTAAAAGTAAAATTAATATTAATAATTAGGACGACTGGTGTACACAAAAACATAACCCCAATAATAGGGAATTTAAAACATCAGTAGTAACTTCTGAAACCCCATGTAGAATTCTCAACGAAGAAGGAATACAAGTGGAACCCACAAACTTACTTAGAAACACAAAATCCTAGTAAAATCTAGGTTGGCTAATCCTAATAAGATAAGGAATCTTGAAAAAAGCCCAGCTGCGGCACTTCATGAAGTCAGAATGCAACCATACAACAGGATGGGACAGAATAAAAATCTAAAAATCCAATCTAACAGGGTGGACGGAGAGACTGATATCTAAAGCTTCATTTATCGAATAAGCTGAAAATATGTGCAATATGAATGATTCAACACGTGTCCTGGATATATAGAGGTAGTAAGAGAACTATAAAAATAGGATCTTGATGATGTAACTACGGTTCGTAGTAAAATAGACAAATTACTATGGAATTACATACTATCATGGCACTCAAATTTTACACATACCATAATATTTTTAAAAGCAAAATGTTACATAGTATTTGAGAAATACAGAAGTCAAGTAAAATACACTAGGAGGAGATGTCAACATGAAGTAAGCTGGCGGATGGTGACCAGCAGTGGAATCCACCAGGATTCGCATCTCGTCCCGTTTGAGACTTGTCAACCAGCTGGATGTTCTTGTATTCCCCAGTGAGTGATGGTGTTTCCACAGAGACTCGAACCCAGTACCCATAGTTTCAAATGTCAAATCGTTATCCACTAGACCACCTGAGGTCGAGCACTTCAGTTCAAACAGTCAACGGGAAAATGCAAACTGAATTAAATAACTGGAGATACTGACAGTTGACTAAAGGCAACTTATATATATATATATATATCATATTCACAACTGGATGTAAGAATTAAGAAAGGACGACTGTTGAACTTCAGATGAGTATACAGGTTATCACCAAAATAAGTTTCCCACACTCCTCATTTCCTACTCCTTGATGAATGGGCAGAGAGGAGGTGATCAATTACACTTCAGATTTCCTCGGGTAGTGTACTTAGTCTAATGTAATATTTCTTATTAAATGCCTAGAGGAATGCGGTAATCATATCAGATGTTAAGTTTGGCTGTTGTAAAGGTGTTTTATCGATTATTTTTTACATACAACTAGAATATATGTTGTGGTTTTTGTTAAACTATGCGCGAAAAAATTCCACCACTAAACTGATCCCCATGCCGGAACTTTAATTAGTTAGGGATTACAAAATATATATAATACCAGTTAGAGACCACTGAAAACCAGACAGCGCTGGAGAGTTATTTCGTCCTAGTTTGAGACTCTTCAGTGGCACACGCTCATGATCACACCAAGGATAGAACCCTAGGCCAAGCTAGTTGACGATTCAGTCAAGTTGACCGGAGTTCAGAGACATGTGAATTCTAACTTTGTCAGTTCGTGATGTAGTGGTGTCCTGAAAATCCCGCAACCTAAGAACCGATCTCCAGCTCACTGATGGCTACCGGATGAACGTCTTGAAGCTGTAACATCATGGCCAGTGAAGCAAACCCTGTTACCCTGAAAAGGATGCTCATCAAAAGTGTTGGTTGGTGGTAACTCTATAAGACGAATTGACAAAAGCTGGAATCCAGAGGGTGACTGGTTGGTCAACGGGCTGAATCGTGGAAGCTGAATTTCTCGGGTTCAATCTGTGGTGGTGCCATTGGTGTTCCTTGTCGAAGAATTCCGAACTAGGATGAAACAGCTGTCCAATGCTCATTGCTGGTTTTCAATTATTCTCTAAATGGTGCTGATGAGTGATGAAATCAGCAGTGAAATTATCCCGAAATTGCTAAGAATACCCACAGTCTAGATGACGTAACTGATGTTAACCAAACTAGTTCAGTCTAATCTTCATGTAATGGCTATAGTATTTAAATTCCACTCTAAATTGGTTGATTCTATTCATAAACTTCTCAACAGAAGAGCTTAACAGATATTTTCCAAGCTCTGTTGTCTGCAGTGGCAGATATCAACAGTTTCTCTTGAGATTCTATCTATGATAGGAGACATCAGTGCAGTATTTTATAGTGAATAATGTTTCATTAATCATCTTTGCCAACATTAAAATAACTTTGTAGGTTCATTTTTTTGATGATTCGTAAGCTTCTCTTTCTTTGGATTCGTTAGTACTGAAATCTTGTATACTTCCAGTTTATATGCAAAGATATTCCTTTTGCATATAGTGAAGGTTATTTTGATGAACTCAGACATATAAACATTCAGTAGACATGTTGATACAACTATTCTGTCAGAAATGAAAACATTTATTTCCCGATAAGAATTTAAAACAAGCAATAAAGTTTAATAAAACAGGATCTAATGAATTCATCAAATTTCAGTAGAACTCGTCAGCTGAATACTCTACATACACGGGTATATATACTTTTGAAATTACATTGGGAGATATAAGACTAATAAATAAATAAACTACACTGAATTAGTCATGCAGAAAGACAGGTGCGAATGCTTTCCAGGTCATGTTCAAATAGATAAAGGGAGGGGGAATATGAGTGAGCTTTTCTTGTAACTGAGAGGTCTCGTGTTCGAACCCTAAGTGCGTGCTTCCGAAGAGACCCGAACTAGGACGAAACAATTGTCAAGTAATCCCTAGTCTTCAGAGGCTCTTTAACTGATTTTTCATATAAGTTATTATTGTTCGGCGGTACCACAGATTATATGGAGCAAAAACTGCTTTTGATATATTGTTGGAATATAATTTTGGACATTCTGTAATCTATGCAGAAGAATGACTTAATTGGTTTTTTTGGATTTTAGAAGGAAATACCTGAATATTTTTCATTACAATGACTTCAGAAATAATGACGGTTGACTATCCAATCACAGTAATGACTGCTTTATCTTGAAGTTTCCATAAGATTAACTATATGTTGACATATTCTAACAAGCGGAATGCATTTTCAGAAATTGTGCATGCTTAGCTATAATGACATAACCTCTTTACTAAATTTCTTAAGATTATTTTAAGTTTTTTGCATAGTATAGTTATTCTTAAATATAAATAAAAACTACGTTTCTACTAACTCTCAGACGATTTCAATTCTTGATGACAAAATCTGCTGTCAAAATATAAAAAGCCTTTAAACTAGGAAATTTTGAGATTGAATATTTACCCAAATTTAATTATTTGATGACTGCTAACAGTTAAATTCAAAAATTCACGTTTCATCTACATCAGGTCTCTTCAACTGGTTAAACCTACTGCCTAGTAAATAATGATATTCCCACTAGGATGAGTTCACAATAGGATGATATGAGAGTTCTTCTTTCTGAGTGCCTTCGAGTTATCAACCCCAGCGTGTTGACATACATTCAGGCGACCCGTATTCCTAAATGTGTCTGATTAGCTCAATTCAGATATGTGAACAGGAATATCGTAAATATGAGTAAATAATTTCAAATGTCGAACTAGTTTAACTCCATCATAGTATAACTTTATTTAATAAAAGCATACAGTGATTTAGTATAATTTACTCATGACGTTTCGAGCAAAACTTATCGTTCATAATTATATCATGCCACTCATTCCGATTTCAGACTTTGTGCATAAAATTCTATTATTTTTCATCCTTTGATTTTATTAGTAGTTATGTATTTTCATTATTTCTAGCATTGACATTGTCTCACTCCTGTTGAACTTGTTAGGTATCGATTTGATGAACAAAGATGAAATGATTAACCTTTCTACCTCCACCTATTTAAGGACTATATTATTATTATTGTTTCCTTTAATTCCTAGAGGAACATAGGGCTTCAGCCGTGCGTCTCCATTGCGTTTGGTTCTCTGCTAGAGTTTTCACCTGGCTCCAAGTTTGCCCACACGTTTTCACCTCCTCTTCACATGACCTCCTCCAAGTCACCCTTGCACTGACGACCAACTCGCCGCTTCCCTTTCGGGTTCCACTCGAGCAATGGCTTGTCTAGTTAGGTCACTTGATGCTTTGTTTCCTCAGAGTATGGTCAATCCATCTCCATTTCTTCCTGCCTAATTGTTTCACAATCGGTTCCTGGTTGGTTCGCTTCCAAAGATCTCTGTTGCTGATCTTTTCTGGCCATCTGGTCTTGAGTAGTATTGAGCGAAGACAACTGTTACTGAAGGTCTGTAGTTTGCTTGAGATGCTCTTCATGACGCGCCAAGTCTCTGTTCCGTATAGTAGCACTGACTCCACATTGGATCTTATTTTTGATGCTGAGTGCTGTTGACCTCCACACAGACTTGAGAGTAGTGAAAGGTTGTCTTGCTTTCCCGATTCTTGCTTCGATATCCTCGTCAGTTCCGCTGGCCTGTAGCTGAAACGATGCTTCCCAGGCAGGTATGTAAAGGAGGTTGTTTCTTTCAGGTTCCTCCCATTTATGCTGGCTGACTGTTGTCTGTTGTTGTTGTTGGCCAGGAATCTTCATCACCTCTGTCTTCTCTATGTTCACCTGAAGTCCTATCTTCTCTGGATGCTTCTTCTGCCAACTTGTTGCTTTTCACTTGCATATCTTCCAGTTTGTTGGAAATCAGACATATATCATCATCGGCGAAGTCCAGATCCTCCAAGTATTTTGTGTGAGTCCATTTTATGCATGTTTCCTCATTGCCCGCTGTCTGTCGCATTATCCAATCTATTGCAATCAGGAAAATCAGTGGCGATAGTAGGCAGCCAGCCTTGTCTTACTCCCGTCTTCACTTCGAAAAATTCTGTGAGTTTCCCGTTGTGGATTACTTGGCATGCAGTATTGTCGTACAGGACTGTAAGCAAGTGAAAAAACACGTCAGGCTGTCGAATGGAACCCCAATAGGAAGCGGCGAGTTGATCGTCAGTGCTAGGGTGACATGGTGGAGGTTA